GAAATTATTGCAGCAGCGTCTAACATATTTTCTTTCATGTGAAACCTCAAAGTCTGGTGTACCGGGTCCATTTGAGTACCGGGAAAACGCTTTGCATGCATTTTTTGTGATGAAAAAAGGCTCTGGACAGCATCTGGAAATGGAAGAGTTAAAAAAAAAAAATTCAAACGCTTAGAAATGCGGTTAGCCGCGTTTACAAGCGTTTGGCGTTTGAAACGCTGATAAAATCTACTCCTGAACGCAAGTTTTCTGCATTCAAAAAAATTACTGTAAACTCAACTGCCTGTAAACGAAGATGTGTACATGAACACATAGGAAAACATTAGGGAGAGTTCAGGGGCTGCTGAAAAAAACGCAGAACAGCTCCGAAACGTGAGTTTATCAGCTGCAGTGTACATGAGCACTAAATGTGAAAAAAAAGACAAATCTCTTGACTGTTTATTTGAGCCAAAGGAGCTAAAATTGCTGTTGCCTGACTGCTGCTACACAGAGGGAAAAGATGGGAAACAAACAGGGGCGGACTGACCATTTGGGCACTCGGGCATTGCCTGAGGGTCCGGGCTCAGTAGGGGGCCCCATGAGATATCTCTGGTACCTTTCATAGGCTTTTTTGGGTGTGGTTTGAGTGTGGGCAAGGACACAGGGGACCCATGATCTCCTATTGCCTGGGGGCCCCATGAGTTGTCAGTCCGCCCCTGGCTCCAGAGGTGGCAGAGCTACATTTATATTAGAAAAAAACATTAAATACTGTATATTTTAAATATATTGGATGCCATGGAGAGGAGCCTTTGTGTGTTTCACCATTGAGATCCATCCGGCTGAGGATCATCTACTTGCATTTGCTCTTTTTGACCCCTTGAGGGTCGCAGTTTGAAGATGAGCACGCATGCTAGGTGGTGAAGGATTGCCCCTTTGTTTGGTCACTGAATTCTACACGTTTTTTGTGCTGAAGATTCACACACTGTGTTTTGGGACTGTGTTTTTTAGACTTGTGTTGTGATTTTTTAGGACTTATTTTGTGTCCATTTTCCGCCATTAATTGCTTTGTTTTTTTTGTATACATTTTTTGCATTCACCTATTGGTCAAGTTCATTTTTTGATGTCACAATTTATATGTCACCTATATTGCTATTTGATTATTTTTACATATATTTTTTTTTTCCACTGTATACTTTAAGCCAAGAATAAATACCTGCTTTCACTGTCATAATCCCCTGTTCCAGTAGCACTCATACTGTATTGGGAGGGGCCAATCATGTTTGCTGGAAGCAAAAATGCCGACACGAATCCTGCTGACCAAAGAGAACAGAAAGTCTGATGACGTGTTGAAGGAGGCCGAAGGCGATATCGCTTGTGCCGAATCACGCCTGTTCCAGGAACTGAATCTTAAAGATGGATGAGCAAAGTCAATGTTGATATTGACATAAGCCTCCACCGGGCCATACATAGGCTTCCTGCACTGTGTGTGTCATTGTGTACTGTAATATTTAGAGACAGATTAGATAAGAGGAAGTACTTTACTCCATTTATTATACTGCACGCTCTCCCTGCCCCGTAGGGAAACTACATCATAACATATTTTAAAAAGAAAATGTTTCGCTTGCTTGAAAGGTCATATTTTTATAATGTTATTTCATATATATTTGCAGACTCCCCCTGCTGGAGGTTGTCTGTATTTCAGACTAGGCAATCACCCTAGGTTCACACCTATGCAGCTGCGTTTGATCTGTTTCTGCTGTGTTTTTGCGTTTTTTTTACACGCGCTTTTAATGCGTTTTTGCAGCGTTTTGACTTTGATGTTTTTTTGGTCAAGTTTTTCAGTTGACAAGGGGAGGTGTTAGTAGTGAAACATGTTAAAAATGTAAAACACATCAAAAACGCGTCTAAAATGCAACCAAAACGCACGCAAAACACAGCACTTGCATTTTAGATGTGGTTCCATTGAAGTCTAGTGTAAAAAAAAAGCAAAAAGAAGTCCCTGACCCTTTCTAAAAAGCGCGCCTGCAAAAACAGCACAGATGTGAACGTGATCCATAGGAAATAATGTTTAATGGCATGTAATGTGTTCCTGCAAAACGCATAAACAAATGCAGATATGTGAACCAGGCGTCAGAGTTTTTGCTGAACAACGTCTTAGATAAAATCAGTATTCCAACCAAGGGAGTGTCTTGTGTTCATTGAATTTTCTCTGGGTCTAGGCTGACTAAATGTTCAGATGTCTCCCTAGAACAGGGGTCTCCAAACTATGGCCCTCCAGGTGTTGAGGAACTGCAAGTCCCATGAGGCCTTGCAAGACTCTGACAGCCACAGGCAAGATTCCCAGATGTATGATGGGACTAGTAGTACTTCAACAGCTGGAGGGTCAAAGTTTGGAGACCCCTGTCCTAGAATGACAGAAAGAGACATGTGGCCATTGGTTGCAGCTACAAGAGTGTACCCCACTCACTTGATGCAGCACACTCTTAGTTTATTTTATTCATTTTGTATACTGTATGTATGTATGTATACAGGGGTGGACTGACCATTTGGAAACTCAGGCACTGCCCGAGGACCTGGGGTCAGTAGGGGGCCCCATGAGATGCCCCTGGTACTTTTTTCATAGGCTTTTTGAGTTTGGGCAAGGACACAGGGGCCCCATGATCCCCTATAACCCAGGGGCCCCATGAGTTGTCAGTCTGCCCCCGTATGAGTGCATATGTATATATATCGAGAGAGAGAGAGGTTAGCACTCTCTGCCTATCAGCAGGCGCTATGTATTGCATTAACAGGATAGATATATTTTATATTATAGATATGAATCGTATAGTCTTTCAGGGGAATGTATAGTTATTTATACATAATTTATTTCTTTATTCAGTCAGGTGAATAGGAAACATTGCATGTTGTTATTTTGAGTTCTCCTTTTGTGGCAGCTGGTGGAGCTATCGGACCCCTTTTCCCATTTGCCAGTATCTCCTTTGCTTCATATGTTGAGAACAGCCTGTTGTTTACTCAGCCCAGTAGCTCAAGATGAAATTTACACAGACAAGTAAATACATTAGCAGGGTCACATATGCTCCTAGGTCAAATAAGCTATATATAAAGCCTAGGATGCCATTGTTTCTGGGGGGCAGCAAAGGGGGCCAGGGATTTAAGACGGTACACAGATTATTATTGGGTGCCGTGTGCTGGTAAGCTGTGCACCACTTGAGAGGACATTATGTGAAGGCACTGGAAATTCCTGCCTGATGCAAGTATCAGAACAAGCACCTGCTGAGTATGGAAACAAAACTGCCCTTCCGTTTGGAGAGGAGGTCTTAAAAGTAAAATTCAAGGGGGCCTGGGAAAACATCTCTGTAGAACTTTGCACACAGCCCCCTTCAGTGCCCACAGCCCCCTTCACAGCTCTCTGCAGTAGCTGCCTACCCTTTGCAGTGCTTTCCAGCTCCTACCAGTGCCCACAAGTCCCATCCAGTGCCTTTAAACCCCCTCCATTGCCCCCCATCCCACCTCAGTGATAGGGTTCCTTAGCGCCCAAAGCATCTTTTAATTCCTCCATCTCCTTTAACAGCCTGCTACACTGCCCACTCCATATCTCCCAAACCTCCTGCAGTGCCCCTAGCACCCGCCACAGTTCTCTGCAGTAGCTGCCTACCCTTTGCAGTGCTCTCCAGCTCCTACCAGTGCCCACAAGCCCCATCCAGTGCCTTTAAACCCCCTCCATTGCCCCCCATCCCACCTCAGTGATAGGGTTTCTTAGTGCCCCAAAGCATCCTTTAATGCCTCCAACTCCTTTAACAGCCTGCTATACTGCCCACTCCATATCTCCCAAACCTCCTGCAGTGCCCCTAGCACCCGCCACAGTTCTCTGCAGTAGCTGCCTACCCTTTGCAGTGCTCTCCAGCTCCTACCAGTGCCCACAAGCCCCATCCAGTGCCTTTAAAACCCCCTCTATTGCCCCCCATCCCACCTCAGTGATAGGGTTTCTTAGTGCCCCAAAGCATCCTTTAATGCCTCCAACTCCTTTAACAGCCTGATATACTGCCCAGTCCATATCTCCCAAACCTCCTGCAGTGCCCCTAGCACCCTCCACAGTTCTCTGCAGTAGCTGCTAACCATTTGCGGTATTCTCCAGCTCTCACCAGTGCCCACAACTCCTCTCCAGGGCTTTTGAACCCCCTCCACTACCTCAGCACTAGAGTTTCCCAGTGCCCACAAGGATCCTTCAATGCCTCCAACGCCTATACTGCCCTCTCCACATCTCACAAACTCCCTGCTGTGCCTCCATCCTCCTCCAGCACCCCACAGCCCTCTTCAGCCCTAGAGCTCCTGAGCCCAACTGGTCCCCACCACCCCTATCTAGTGTGTGTAAATCCGTGTCTGTGAGTCAGAGCAATGATTCATTGTAGTAAGTCATCCATTACTGTTGCATCCCAGGGGGTCTGCGAGAAACAACATGCCTGATGAAGAATGCATATAATTACGATAATTATAGTAGCTCACCCCAGGCTTTCCATATCACTCTCTTGTTCATTCAAACTTTCTTTTTTCCATCAATCATTTTCAGTTCTGACAAATTTCAAATCCAAACAAAATGATTTACTGTCTCCAGATTATTCTGAGCTTCTAAAAGTGTAATTTTGTGTATTACGTATAATGGCATTAAAAAGCTCTTAAGACTGCGTAAGAATTTTTCTACTAAAAATATACTCTGAAGTCTCAGTAAAGGTCTCCTATCACTGCTGGGGGTCCTCATCTCAACCTCAGGGTTTCCAGATGGAGATGGTTTGCTACTCCAATTAACAAGCTCTGCACTCATCTTCTATGCAGACACCACCATTTGGGCTTTATTTATGCAGTTCATAAGAAAGGTGTGGATCTATTTTCTCCAGGTCAGAAGCAGGCAGGAATTAGCAAAAAGGCATGCTACAATCCTTGCATTATATTTTTAGTAAGTGTTAATTTAAACTGCAAGTATTTGGAATGTTTCTGGTCTACAAATATTTCTTTCTGTCTTTCAGATCCAGAGCTTAAAAGACAATTTCCTGATGTTTTTGATGACCAGGTAAGAATATGCTATACAGGGGCGGACTGACCATTTGGAAACTAGGGCACTGCCCGAGGGCCTGGGGTCAGTAGGGGGCCCCATGAGATGCCCCTGGTACCTTTTTCATAGGCTTTATTGAGTTTGGGCAAGGACACAGGGGCCCCATGATCCCCTATTGCCCGGGGCCCCATGAGTTGTCAGTCCGCCCCTGGCTATATAACTGTCTTTTCATTGTCATAACTTTTGGCTAAGAAGACCAACGTGTAGGAGGGGATCCTATACTGACAAGGGTCATATTGATAGTTAAATGACTGAGTCAGAGCAACTCCAAAACTGCAGCTCTTGAGGGATGTTCCTGGTCTGAAGTGGTCAGGACTGAAGAAGAGTGGTCCAAGGAAGGAAAACCAGTGAGAGGCTCCTGTTAATTTCCTGCCCTAAGCTCTGAAGCTTCTTCCCGAGGCAGATGGTAGCAATCAAACTTCTAGCCTGTGAAACCCTGAACAGACCAGAAAAAACAATCATTACTCCCCTGATTGCAGGAGGAGCCAAAAACTAAATTTATCTAGCATCCTGTGCTAGAAGGGTACTATCATTACATGTATACATTCTGCACAGTTTTGAGTAGACACTATTTTTGCAATGCTGGCTGTCACAGAGTCCAGTATGAAGGGTTCCATTCAGGGGCGGACTGACGACTCATGGGGCCCCCGGGCAATAGGGGGATCATGGGGCCCCCCGTGTCCTTGCCCATACTCAAACCACACCCAAAAAAGCCTATGAAAAAAATAAAAAGGTACCAGGGGCATCTCATGGGGCCCCCTTCTGACCACAGGCCCTCGGGCAGTGCTCGACTCCCCAAATGGTCAGTCCGCCCCTGGTTCCATTAGGACTAGTACACTGTCAACTGACTGAACTCATGCTGAAAACTCATGCTGTCTCCCATCTACTAAGTAACCAGAACGGTATCAAAAACAGGACCCTGTGAAGTGAGACTTCTTGAAACTCTTGGGAGTTGGATTTAGATGGTGTTCATATGGTGGTCCTATGATCATCAGAGTTTCATCCAGGGCTCTGAAATTTTATGATATTCAAGGCAAAGTTATTTGGGCATATTGTGTTATAATGTACTGTATACACCACTGTCCCATTCCATATATATCTACCACATTTTATTTTTTTCTAGGACTCAGTAACAACGCTTACAAAGTTTTGCTTCCCTTTTGATGTGAAAAGGTAAAAAATCTACCATCCGATTCTCATATCATTCAAAGCTCAAACCTCTGATATTTACAACCAGTTTTTGTAAATCTCAGACATAATAAAATGTGTAAATAGTATATATTTTCATTGTTCTTTTCTTTTGCCTGCTCCATCTTCCAGTTGCTCAATGCTCAGATTTTGTCGTCATACTTTCTTCCTAGCAACAATAAAACTTTTCACTTTGGACAAAACATACTGAATGAAATTTTACAAGGCCTGGGGAGAAGTTTGGGGTGGGGGGCTAACTAGAACCATCTTAACATTATTATGTCAATGACCTGTAAATTTGACAGGAAAGAGGCATTTTGGAAACTTATGAACATGAACTGATGGTGTCTATGCAGTTGTTTGGTCTCTTTATCGTGGAAATGTCAGCACCGTCTAATAAAATATCTGAGAAACAAACTGTCCAAAGCTGGCCATTGGCATTAGAGAACGTTCAGACAGGCAACCACCCAACTCATGATGTTTGCTGTACTAGCTTTAGTCTTGGATAGAACCATTTGAGTTGCATTAACATTGCTATTTATGTTATGGAGAAGGAAGGGAAAGTGCAGCTTCACTCCATGTAGACCACCCGTTCTCATCCAGGGTTCCTCCAGATGTTGCTAAAAGTTCCTTAAGCTGCGGCTGATTGATCTCCCATCTGATGATGCCTACATAGTTCCAGGACCAACATCACCTGGCACAGCCAGAGTCATGACATCAGAGATATTTTTGGCTGTCTGCAAGGGTGGCATTCTGACCACCACTCCAAGGGAGGCATTCTTCTTACATACTTCCAATGTAACTGGCCTTCTTCCCACTGACCACTGTGGGAACTCGCTTCCAGTGGTGGAGCTTTTCCTTTCAAAAGCACACAGCAACTCGCTTCTTTTTAAGGGCCTTTTTGCCCAATTTTATTTAAAAGAACGTCCCGTAACATAAAGCTTCCCACGCAGGGGTATCCACCATCAAGCAAAAACAACAAAGATTCAGCCTCCTGGCTTGTACTCAGTTTGATGTCTGTCGCCTGCAGACACTTCCCAAATTATGGCTCTCGCACACAGCTGGCCACTAGCACACAACTAGTCTGGCTTCCACCTCTCCTTGGTGGAGCCCTCCTGACTCCTGTCTTCTGGGGTGGAGCCCTACTGACTCCTGTCTGCCGGGGTGGAGCCCTACTGACTCCTGTCTGCCGGGGTGGAGCCCTCCTGACTCCTGTCTTCCGGGGTGGAGCCCTCCTGACTCCTGTCTTCCGGGGTGGAGCCCTCCTGACTCCGTCTGCCGGGGTGGAGCCCAGAACCATGGTTAGGCCTCTAATGAAAAGGCCTGCACACACCTGTGCAATCAGTCTCCTGGCCATTCCCAAAACCTGTCCCAGGATTGGAGATTTCATCCCTCCCAAATCGCTTTGAAATCTCCAGGCTCCAGGTCCCAAAAGGGACCTTACAAACAAACGAGGAAAGTGAAAAGCCACTTTCCTCTGTATCAAACACTTACCCTGGAGCCCCTCAACCTGCGTTGAGAATCCTGGGTTAAATAACCTTTCAACATCGTGACATATCGCCACACTGTCACACCACCTATTACTTGGTTTTACAGGATTTCCATGTGACCTGAAAATTCTTTCAAGGGTTCCTTTGGGGTAAAAAAGTTGCTGTAGATAGACTGTGTGGGCAGCAGTTTATGTCAGGAGGATTAATGGAGATTGAAGAATTTTTTCTAACATGACTAATCACAAACTGCCCAGAGAACAGTGAGGTGGGACTGTCTACAGCTTTCACCCAGGTATTTTTGCTAAAAATGGCAAAAGTGGGAAATTGCCATTTAATGTTCATGAACACCGTTATTCTGGATTTATGCTAGAAAGAAAGATTTATTTGCTAACATAACACAGGGCGTTGCAGTGCACTGACATGCATCAATGCATTTTATGTTGAGGATTTTATTCGATAGAGTTAAAAAAACAAAGTATATTCAACATGCTTTCAGTGCAGCATAGGGGAATTTTTCACAGTGAGTTGGTGTAAAACAGTCCTACCAAAACCAATGCATTTGCAAATGCAACCTCAGATACATGGCAATTGATCTGTTGTTAACAGGAATGTCTGTTCTGTTCAAGTCAGCCAATAAGATGCTTAATTCATTCTCCCAGTGTAGTAGGGAATAGTACAAGAATGATGTGGTTGGTTTAACTATTTACATTGGTTCTAAAAAGGAATTTGTGTTAAATTTACCAATGTACGCATCGAAAAAGGCATAATCAGTTAGCTGTTTGTAATACCCCGCTCAGTTTCTGTTTTCCCATTTATTGCCCTTGTTGCCTGTTCTTCTTTACTGTTTTTCATTTTTGTCTCCCTCACCACAACGCCACCATAATCTAGATGGCAGAACTCTTCCGTTCAGCACTTCAGCTTTACACTGACCGACCTCCAGGGCTACCAGCGGTTTGGTTTTTGTCGTATGTCTGTAGAGGCGAAGAGCTGTACATGTATCCTCAGGTGAGTTGCTGCTCTGGAAACTTAGATTCCAAATGGTCTAAATCCCTTTGTATCAATTTTCCTTACTTAGGTTGGACCTTGCTACATAGGTTACAATTAAAGGGAATGAATACTGATGTTACATATGTTTTTTCTTTCTTTGTTTATTATGGTAAGAGTTTAATTTTTTTTTAAGCAAGTAAAATGGAAATATGACACTTAAAAATCATGTATTTTCATTTACGTGTCTTTCACACATGAGCAATTTTAAGTGTCATTTGAAACATCTCAGTGCTCAGCACTAGAATTTCCATCATATTCATAGGTGCCTGTGTCATCAGGTGCTAGGTCCGTTTTAAGCTAGAGCCCATCTCTAGTGATGTAATGAGTGAGTCAGGGCCTACATAATCCAGGCTGGGAAGCCCTAGTGCAGTTGGGGCATGGAAGCCGGAGACTCCACCATCAGGCAGATATAGTCCACTAGGGAAGGCCCTGGATAGGGCTGGAGGGCAGGAAGAGTTAGACCTGCACCTAGAAGGGCTAGCTGTAGATCTGACTCTTTTGGTGGAGGAGGCCTTTTGGGCCAGGCCATGTGTTCACTAGAGTGAGACTATTCCCCTGGAGAGCCTGGGAGAAATGTACCCAGACCAGAGGTGACTGCAGTGATCCTGTCTTAGAAAGACTACCTGTAAGGAGCACAGAGCAAGAAACACACAGTCTAAGGCAAACAAGGACCTTCTGAGTGAGTACTAATGACCCCGGGAAGAGAGAGGCTGAGTAGGGAAGATGGCTTACTAAAATGTATTTTGTGCTGCATCCACATGTGATTGCTGCGGTTTTTCCACTATATGTGATTGACTCTAATGCCTTTTTAACCGCTTCCCACCCGGCCACTGCACTTAAATGACTGGATGGGGCAAGCACTGGTCTGGGTGGATGTACCTGTACGTCCCTGAGAACATGGGCACGCACTCGGTAGGGTGGCCGCGCAGCTGAATGCTCCCAGTGTGGCTGTGTCCACTGGACAAAAAATAAAAAACCCAGTGGTGATTAAACACCATGAAAATTTGGGTACAATGTAGCATGTCTGAGTAATTGTCATTCAAAGTGTGAGAGCACTGAAAGCTGTAAATTGGTCTGGGCAGGAAGGGAGTAAAAGTGCCCGGTATTGAGGTGGTTAAAGTACTACACGTAAAGTGCAGCAATATTAACTTTTTGTGTGGACATTGCTTCCTTAGGATATACAGGTCAATGGCTGGGAATGTCATAAGGAGGCTTCTGACATGAGGAGGGGCACAAGATGGTAGAGGGCAGGGGAGGACTGACAACTCATGGGGCCCCCGGGCAATAGGGGATTATGGGACCCCTGTGTCCTTCCCCAAACTCAAAAAAGCCTATGAAAAAGGTACCAGGGGCATCTCATGGGGCCCCCTACTGACCCCGGACCCCTGGGCAGTGCCCGAGTTTCCAAATGGTCAGTCCGCCCCTGGTGGAGGGTTAAAACCTCAAGCAGGAGGGCTGTTGTTCTAACAAGAAGAAGCTGGATAGAGACTTGTACTCTTTGGTGCCATTTGCAAGGCCTCCTACAACTTTATTCCTTAGCATAGTGTCACTTGAAGTTCATCATTTGAAAATGTATAGAACTCCTCTTGGGGCAGAGTGAAGCACTTTGATCCAAATAAAACAATGGGAGTGCTTAAAAAATGTGTGAAAAACAAACAAAAATGCACATACCGTGCATTTTTTGCATGTTTTCTTGATTAAAAATGGGCACTCTTTGCTAAAAATCATTGTAAAAAGACCCTCAAGCCTGAACCGCATGTGCATGCCTAAGACAGAGATCTCTATGACTAAGCCCAATCAGGGCAAAATGTGTCAGGAAGCCTGGCTACCGACAGGAACTCTCGATGAGCGAATTGGGTGGTATACCTTTTTTATGTTGAGTGCTGTGATCAGTGTGTGTGGCCTTTTTTGGATGTAGTACTGTGGTGTGTCGAGTGGAGGAGGGTTGCTTGGGCCAGGGCCACAAAGCAAGTTTAGAGTAGCGCTTTCTTTTGGTGAATCCTTACCAATTGTTGATAGTTGAGAAGAGGGATAATAGACCATACTTTTTGGGGCCTATTCCTTTCAGTTCATCCCTGCAGGATCCATGCATTCAGGTGTGGCCAACTAACAAGCAGAGTTGTCTGTTGAGAAGACTTTTGGATACTGGAAGAACCACAGCCACCATCATCTGCTTCAAACCCTCAGACTTGCACGGTTATGGCGATACCCAAACCACACCCTTTCTCTCAGCAAGTTCAAAGTAATTGTATTGAAAACATAGACAGTTCAAATTGTGCATGTTTTATCTTGATAAAGATAATATGAAATAATAAAATTACATATACAGTATTTGATATTCACTTACCCAAACAACAGATGGAACACTCTTCTTCTCATGTGTTTACCTGTCTATTGTTAGCTGCTCTGTTGAAAACACTTTTTGGCAGTGCTCATTAGTTCCTTTTCCGGCTTACAACCAATACTTAGAATTGCTGCCATGACCCTTCAGTTCTCAGCACTCCCTTCTCTCCCCTGCAGCAGCCATTCCCTGATACAGGGAAGTGGAAGCTACTTTAATTAAATATAGAGATCCACTTACCTCCCTTTCCCCCCACACAGCCTCCTTGCTGTTCAGACAGGATTTCAGTGAGAGAGATATTCTGGGAAAAGCAGTTTTACTTACCTGATTCCTCCGTTCCTGTCAGCTATTCTGTCCAGCAAGATCAGTTTCCACAACCTGTTTTCCCCTATCCTTTGGCTGTCAATGCCTCTGATGTCATCAAGACTGATACAGAGCACATAGCCTTACATTGGCTGTGAGGACTCAGAGACACAGTTCACCGCAGGAGCATAGGGGAACGTAGTATGCAGGGAGAGTGGAGAAAAGGGAACCCTAGACCTAAACAAGCATGTACTTTTAGAGTGTGGGGGCATCCCTATGCAAGGGAATATTTTGGCTTTTCCTGCATTTTAAGAAGGAGTCGGAGTTCCCGGAGTCGGGCTTTAGGCTAGACTCACATATAAGCATTTGCTGCATGCCATGTTTGCACAGGCACAGCGGCCTATTCATTTGAAAGGACTTCTGTACCTGCAGGAAATGCAGGAAAAAGGTCCTAGCATCTTTTCAAAATCACCATGTGGATTTATGCACCCAAAAATGCACTACACTTTGAGACGCATGGTGGGACTTGTGGCGGAACCGTTCTGCCTGGGCTTCCTTGTGCGGAGCGATGCATCTCAGCCAATGATCCCCTTTTCTGGCAAGTCTTCCAGCGCTCTGCCAAGGCGGGTATTAGAGCTCAAAGACAATCCTTCCCTGATATCCCACACCACGAGTCGGAACTTCGTGTAGGGTGAAATGAATCAATCTTTATTGAACACAGCTCAGTATATACAGCTTCACCCCCACCAGACAGTCTGGCACTGGGTTTTCCCCACCCACAACAAAGCCCTATAAAACAACAATACAGTATGAACTCTAGAGAAGTGAAAGACTACAAGTCCCCATTACCCTAAACAGTGTAGAATGCCTGTCTACATTACAGCTGCTAAACATATACAGTTTTAAAAAGGGGAGAATGGGAAGACCACCTAACAAGGAACAGAAAGGGCAAAATGTGAACACAAAGGGATGGTTCGTCACAGGGCCACTAAGAATTAATGGTACCCCTATGTGTCTGCTAAAGAGCCACGCGTTTTGCCCACAGGTGAAAGAACGTGTGCGATTTACATGCATTCCCATATCCACATACCTGTAAACCTAGCTTTAAGTGGGCTTTAAGCACTTTGCTTGAGATACTCACATCATCCTACAGTGCTATCAGGTCGCAGATAGATATAGAACCACAGCATGTTTGAGTGCATTTAATACATGTGGTGTGGATATTCAGTTCTTCTTTTTCTCTTACTTTTCAGCTGTTTGCCATGGTTTGAGCTTTTCTACAAACTACTCAACAATATCGCAGAGCACCTAGTAAAGGACCAGGTAATATATCCATCCTTTCTACACCTCTTGTCCTTTCCTTCATTTTATTATCTTTTCCTTTAATAATCCCAAACCATGACATCACGGGTTTTCTTTTCCCTAAAATCCCATTTCACAACATTAAACTTCATTAGAGCTTGGTGATGCAATAGTGTACCACTACCCACAACGGGCCCGCTAGTAATAACTGTTTTTTCCCCAAAAGTTCAGAGGCTGCCCACCACTTCAAGAACCAGTCTATTCACACCAGCTCCAGTAACACAGTCTAGGGCAGTTTCTCAACCAGGGTTCCATGGAACCTTAGGGTTCCTCCAGAGGTTGCCAGGGGTTCCTTGAGCTATGAGCAATTTTTTCCTCTCAGGTAAGTTCCGCCTGACACCATTGATCTTTTTAGTTATCTGTAAGGGGGTAATTCTTCCCAAAGATCACAAGTATAAGGAGCATTCTTACCTCTATCACACTAATGTATCATGAATTGTAGATAAAGTCATTTTTAGCAGGGGACCCCTGAGACCGGAAAGTTATGTCAAGGGTTCCTCTGCATTGAAAAGGTTGAGAAAGGCTGGTCTAGAGGATGTTTTTTTTAAGATTTATTGCTGACAGACATCAACAGGCAAAGGGTTAGGGCATGGGATACTCCAAAATGATTAGCACATAGCAATTAGAAGACAATATTCTCCTTGAGTAAACATGAATGTAGGACAGTCTACACCTCGAGAGCTGAAGACCATGGAGTAACTTCCTGAACAGGCTAAGACCTTACAGCTGATGACCATGAGGCACAATTTCATTGGCATCTGGTAACCTTGTGCCTGTGCACAACTAAAGAACACTGCACAGTCACAAGGATCACTTTAAGGTCTGTACTCACAAGTCCCCAAGACAGCTGCCATCTTCGTCTGGACACAGTCCAATGAGTGACACAGTCCTTCTCCAGACTATATCCCCTGTGGTGGGGTCCTGCAATCAGCTTCTAAGCAAATCCATCTAGGCCCTCAGCCCTGACATCGCTAAAGACTCTAAAAAAAGCTGCACAGTTTATGGGTTGTCTAAGGACAACAGCTCCTCAGGTTCTGGAACCCTCCTTAGGAGAAGTAACCTAGCTCTTCGGTGCCTCAGACTATCTATCAACCTTCTAGCCGCTTTCTGGACACAAATCTCAAGGGAAACAATTACTGCTCTCCTGGCTACAAAAGGAGCCAAAAAATAATTTACCTAGAATCCTATACTAGGAAGGTGCTGCACATTTTTAGTTTGGCAGATGCACGTTATTATTGGCTAGTAATGGTTTCCATCACAGTAATGAGCCAGTAGTGAGGCACATATGGAGGAAAAAGTTTGTGATGTTATTTACCAAACATACACTGGGATTTGGAGTCCCAGAGTGCTGCCGAGCAGATCCATGGCAGCTAACCTACGTAACTGGCACTTTTTTTTTTGCCAGCCTCCCACAGGTCTATTAAAGAGCACCCGTAGGCAGGGAAAGTACCATCCTTACATCTTTACTTCAAGGGAGAGGAAGGGGGTGGTTGTTTATCATTATCTGTGTCCCCAAAAAAGCAGATTTCCCCCAATGACAGGAGACGAGTAGAACAGGAAGCTATGAAAATCTGTACAACACAATAAAAAGAGCTATCTGTGACTTAGTTTAATTTCATCCTCATTTCTTGTCCTGATATCACAGAGGAAAAAGGAGGAAATCTCCCAAGTGGGAGTCACATACAGACATACAGAAAAAAACCTAGCATAAATTCCATCTCTTCCCTACTTTATCTGAAGTTGGATTTGAACGTTCACAGGGTATTTTGAATGGCTAATATGAAAGCCCAACTCCAGGAAAATAAAAAAAAAAACCCCACCTAGCAGTAGGTCCACCACACTGCAAGGGTTAAATGCTAGTTTAGTCTAAGGGCAGAAGATGAAAAGTGGTAGTAAAACTCGTCTTATAATAAAGCTTACCTGTAGGTAAAACTATTATCTCCTAAACGTGAACCATTTAGGAGATATTAGCCCTTTTTGATATTCAGCGCATGCGGTCTGAAGGAAGGGCATAACCGTGCCGTTCCTTCAGAGCACTGTGCCGTGGTTCGGGACTCCCTCGCACATGCAAAGGAGTGTCGTCATCGCGGCTCGGCCAGTCAGCCAGCCAGAGGTCGTGAACCCTGAAGAAAGATCGGGTAAAGATGTAAGCCCCGGGGAGCCTTGACAGCACTCCACTGGAGGGTTTCGTTCTAAGGTAAGTCCTTCATAATGTGCTAGTATGCAATGCATACTAGCACATTATGCCTTTACCTTGCAGGGGTTTTTTTTCAAATTTTTTTTTTTATGCGGGTTACTACCGCTTTAAAGAGATAATACTTACATTAATCCTCACTCCAGCACAGGGGCAGACTGACCATTTGGAAACTCGGGCAATGCCCGAGGGCCCGGGGTCAGTAGGGGGCCCCATGAGATGCCCCTGGTACCTTTTTCATAGGCTTTTTTGAGTTTGGGCAAGGACACAGGGGCCCCATGATCCCCTATTGCCTGAGGGCCCCATGAGTTGTCAGTCCGCCTCTGCTCCAGCAGGTTCCCTACAGCGTTGTGACCAGTCCCTGCAGCTGCTCTGTATACTGTCTCCTAGTGACTCTTTGAGAGGCTGGACCAGCTGCCAGTCCAGGCTTCTAGGTGGATCCCGACCATATGGCCGGAAACTTTTCAGAGCCCGGACCGGGTCTGTGACTAATTTCCTGCTGTGACCATCCGGAGAAGAAGAGCCAAAAAAGCTTTGGCCATACTTTTCCTTTCACCTAGCCCTGTCTTGTTTACTATTATATTTAACCAATTTCTTATCTTCTCCCTGATAGTTCAACGAAATTACTGACATTCTGCAGACTCTGTATGATCACCCAGTGCCGGACGTGGACAAGACTCTGAACCTAGAAATGGTGAGCTTTTTACAATTATTTAAAAAAAGGGCAGGGCTTGGCTGTTCTAGCCATTTTAAATACATAACTCTACTAATATTGAAAACTTTCAAACAAATCGATATTAATAATATTTTAATCTTACTTTTGTGTTAGAATACATCGAAAGACTCTTGTTTGACAGTCAAAAAAGTACCAAATCTAGTTACTATGTAATGCACAACCTTCATAAAGTAAACAAAAATCTTCCTTTACCTCTTCTGACAGAGGCAAATCTTCCTACATTTGTGTCTCACCTGCTCCCCCTCCAAGACACTGCAGCTCACAGTGGGACGGATTCAGCAACAGAAACATTGCTGCAAATTCAGAAACCAGTGAGTGGGCTAGGTGTGGTCAGGTGCTAATTGGCAATTGGTAAATCCACACCTTCTGCAACATTTTTCATTCCCACCCTGCTCAGCCTACATGAGAGTGACAACTGTGCTCTGAATTCAGAAGCAGTGGAGCATCATTGACACACCATCACGGAAAGCTCCATTAGGTGCACTTCACTGGCAGGATCAACATGTCTTTGTGGAACTTTGCAGGAAGGCTATGAGAAAACTGTAGGGGCAGATGTACGTATAATGGCTCCGTCCTCGGGCCCCTTCTCTTCTCTATCTACACCTCCTCCCTTGGCCAACTCATACACTCTCACAGCTTCAACTACCACCTATATGCCGACGACACACAAATCTATCTCCCAACCCCCCACCTCACCCCTCAGTCTCTGCCCGTATCACACACCTACTGAGCGACATATCTGACTGGATGTCGCTCCACTTCCTTAAACTGAACCTCTCCAAGACCGAGTTTCTTGTCTTCCCCCCAGCCCGGACACCACCCCCCACTGACTTCTCCATCATGTCCAACAACGCCACCATCAAACCCGCCCCGCAGGCCAGAGTACTTGGTGTCATTCTGGACTCCAACCTATCCTTCCAGCCCCATGTCCAATCTTTAACAAGCTCGTGCAGACTCCACCTCCGCAACATCGCTAAAATCCGCACGTTCCTAACCCCAGAAACCACTAAACAGCTCATCCACTCCCTCATCATATCACGACTCGATTACTGCAACTCCCTCCTCACTGGCCTGCCTCGCCGCTGGCTATCCCCGCTTCAGTCCATCCTGAATACGGCAGCCAGACTCATTCACCTTACCAACCCCTCCGTTTCCGCCACCCCCCTCTGCCAATCCCTCCACTGGCTTCCGATTGCGCAACGGATCAAATTCAAAATCCTAACACTGACGTACAAAGCTGTCCACCATACTGCCCCAAACTACATCACTGACCTAATATCCAAGTACCGCCCAGCACACACACTCCGCTCCTCACAAGACCTCCTTCTCTCTACTTCCCTGGTCTCCTCCTCTCATGCCTGCCTCCAGGACTTCTCCAGGGTGTCACCCATCCTCTGGAACTCCCTGCCCCAACCCATCAGACTATCACCTACTCTCCTCTCCTTTAGGTGCACCCTGAAAACCCATCTCTTCAGGGAAGCCTACCCCACCCCCTGCTAACTTGCCGACCTCCTCCACTCTTCCTACCTCTCCATCCCCCACAGCTATCTCCTCCTGTGCCACCATCCCCTCCCTCCTAGATTGTAAGCTCGAAAGAGCAGGACCCTCAATCCCCTCATGTTTTGCATTGTATTGGTATTGTTCTGTCACATGTTCTGTCCCCCTTTGTAATGTACAGCGCTGAGCGAACTATCAGCGCTTTATAAATACTGTATAATAATAATAATGAAGTGCTGCAGCATATTTTCTTAATTTTCTCATGGTCCTACTTTAAGGTTTTATAAACCTAATCTATAAGTCTATATAGACCCATAACAGTCCATTGAAAACAGTGCTCTCTTTAGGTGGCTTGCACCTAACATATCACTATTTATTGAACTGAAAACTAGAGGTACATCTAGAAATCTGTCTATAGAGTACATCATAAAAATATGCAACAGGAAGCATGTGAAAACACTATATTATATTAAAATGTGTATTGTTTTAAAATGCACTAAAAGTGTATCACTGGTACACTTCACTTACTTTTGTTTGTAGGTTGTGCCACCCCCCTCCCTATTTTTAATGTATGTGAAAAAAATGATGGTGTTAACAGAGCTCAATAGCTCAGACTAAATATTACACATACAAGTGAATAAGTTAGAGCATTGAACACCCTCCCCCCCCTTTTTTTCACATCCCTCTGTAGAGTCCCTCTGCAGTTTCCACCAGAGACAGAGCATCTGGAAGGAGAGAACTATCATGGTTCCTATATATAAACAAATGATCTAACTTGACTTTAAGGTGGAAGTTCAGTCAAATCTTAAGTATACTTAAACCTGCTCCCACCCCCATTCTAAGCCTGTACTAACTACCCTGTAAAGTAAAGATCAGGGGTAGACTGACAACTCATGGGGCCCCCAGGCAATAGGGGATCATGGGGCCCCTGTGTCCTTGCCCAAACTCAAAAAAGCCTATGAAAAAGGTACCAGGGGCAACTCATGGGGCCCCCTACTGACCCCAGGCCCTTGGGCAGTGCCTGAGTTTCCAAATGGTCAGTCCGCCCCTGGTAAAGATGTCTATACTTACCTATGCTAAGAGCACTCTGGTCCAGTCACCTGATCTGCTTCCAGCACCACCTTCAATGTAGAGGAGGAACATCCGACAATGGATGCCCCATAGTAAGCCTATGGGTGAATTCACCACATAGGCATTGCAGCCATTTTCAGTAAACTCTCCTTTCCACTGAAGTCGCCGCTGGACAGATCATGTGACCGGACTGGAGCGCCTTCAGAAAAGGGAAGTGTAGACATTTTTCTTTTCACAGGGTAGTTAGAATAGGGGTGGGAGCTGGTTTAAGTATAGTTAGGATTTGACCGGACTTCTACTTTAAATCCCTATAATTTACCAATATAGTTGCTTTCAGTTCTCAGGTTGACTATGACTAGTGATTGATATTGAAACCTTGATACCTTGTTTTTTCACAGTTTTCCTATTTTGTGGTTCCGGACCCTGCAAAACTGCCATCTATTCCAGAAAATGTGAGTCACCAGCCTAAAAAGCTTAATTCAGAAAAAATTCTGACTTTTCAGTTTCACACAATTGACAAGTTCACCCGTGCCCAGACTACGGAGACAAAGTATTTACATACTCTTAATGCGAACCCTGTCCTCCCCCTTTAAAGATGCCAACGCTATCTTCAAGAAATTTGGCGAATGAGTAAACTTACATATGTTATTGCCCCTCTGTTGTCATAGTTTGCCTTTCTCAGTGGCTATGTTCTCCCAAAGCCCAATGCCGGATTACCAAATAGGCAGAGTAGGCACCGGTCTGTAGGCCCCACGTTGTTTAAGGCCCCTCGACAATTGGATTGAAATAATATTGATTTGATGTTGAAAGAAAATTACAATCAAGCCTTCTTAAATTTATTACAGAAGATAGAAAAAAAATAAACTCAAAGAAATGAAAATTTTACATTAAAGACTGTATGGAGAAAATATTGTATTTATGTAATGTATCCAATACAAAGTTAAAGTACTGAAAAGCTCCTCTTCTTTCAGCTATCAGTTTATATAAAAGTTTGGTGCAACCTACGTACGTGTAATATAGAGTAGCGATGGTCGTCTTGATCTAGTTGCCAACATGCACGCTACTTAGTTCAATGTTTTCCCACTAGAGCATGCTCATGAGAAACCTCCAGAAAGCTGTCAGGGGGGCCCTAAGGTTTCGACTGCCTAGGGGCCTTTATAGAGCTTAATCCGTAACTGCCTGTGCCCCATTCCTGCATCATTTAAAAAAAAAAACACACAGTTTTTATTCTTCCCAGTTCTCAGGGCTGGATCACTTTTTTGTTATTGGTGGCCTTGCCACCGGATCTTGTGCATGTACCATACAAAAGTGAGGCCTGTTATTCTTCGAAAGCAGCCACATCATTTTCGGCGTATGTTCTGCATGAGAGCTGGATGGCATGTTATTGAAAGGTAAGTCATGCCAGATCTTGTACAGTACATGTGTGAGATCAGGCGAGATTTCCCTGGAGCTGGTGACATAGGTTTTCCATGGGAGTGAGAACCTTCAGCATGGCTCAAGGTCGGATCAAACAGAGTAACCCCGCCACTACTCGTGAGTCGGTGTGCTGGCACCAATCCAAAGCGTGAAAGCATACGAAGAAGGATGCCACTCAGACCGACCCCATGGATTCACCAACGAGTGACAGAGATGACCTCAGACCCCACTATGACTACGTCCTCTAACATGTGGTCAGAAGGTAGTCCTTACAAGCCCTGGTGGGCAGAGAAAAATGCATTAAAGGACATGGCCAGAGCAGGGGCTGAGGCCAACACTGTCACTCATTGTTGAATCCTTGGGTTCGCTCTCAGCGGCGTCCTTCTTCATGTTCTTTCACACTTTGGATAGGTTTTCTAGGGGGCATCTGTGAGGCTGGGGTCATGTCACTGGTTGCTCAAGGAAACCTTACTGACCTCTCTAACTGCTTGTACTAGAACAGCCATTCTCAACCAGGGTACTGTGGAATTTTGTGGTTCCTCAAGAGTTTGTTAGGGGTTCCTTGAGTTGTGACTGATAAATCACCATTTGATGGTGCCTACATAGTTCCAGGGCCAACACCACTTGGCAAAGCCAGGACATCAAATATATTTTTTTACTGTCTTTAACAGCATTCTAACCACCACTGTAGGGCAGGCATTCTTTCTACTGACCACCAACATATGGGGCACTTTTCCTATTGACCCCTGATGAATTGATTTTTAGCAAGGGTTCCTCAAAACCTGGAAATTATTGTATGGGTTCCACTGGGGTACACAGGTTGCAAAAAGCTGTACTAGGAAGTAATTAATTCTTGAAGATCCTCAAAGATCACGGCAAAGACAGGTTTCTGCCTGTCCGTTACTAACTGTGTAGCAAAACCTGCTGTGTGTTTACATTAGAGGGCGGGCAGGCTGCCAAGATTTTGGTGCAATAGAAAATATTACGGGAAAGAGAGTTAAGGTTTCAATGCTTGTGGTGTAATTGTTAAAGATGAATTTTTCCACAATGCCTATAGCTACAGAGATGAATAAGGGCTTGTTTCAAGGTGATTTTATTGCTTGCCCAGAACATGTAAATATTTAGCTGTGCATAGTCTGGGCACAAGGTCATTTTAAGGGCTCGTTTACACTTGCAGTGATGGTCACCACCTCTCCAAAAAACAATTTACAGTTTATAACTTTTCAGAGGGCAGTTGCCAAGCGGCTCGGAGGCAACATGTCAATTCCTTACCATCTGTTTAGAACCCTTGAAGGACCACAGAACTTACCTACAGTTGTAAGGCATTTGTAAGGCCCCATTCACTTGAATAGGATTGCGTTTGCTGCCCACCAAATGTCGTGACATGGGGTTTAATTTTTGCTGTGTTACCATTTTTGTTTGCACCTCGCTGCCAACCAGTCATGTTAGGTTAAGGTGGGTGGGTCACAGGCAATAAAACTGTGACCCGGGACTGACTGACAACTCATGGGGCCCCCGGGCAATAGGGGATCATGGGGCCCCTGTGTCCTTGCCCAAACTCAAAAAAGCCTATTAAAAAGGTACCAGGGGCATCTCATGGGGCCCACTACTGACCCCCGGCCCTCGGGCAGTGCCCGATTTTTCAAATGCTCAGTCCGCCCCTGACTGTGACTCACCTTCCCCCCCACCAGCTCCAGGTGTAAGACAGGAGTCTTGTATGGCACACAAATGTTTGCAATATCTCAACGATTTTATGAAGTCATTTTACTTATGTTTTGCTTTTTGTCTCTTAAGGAATACTAACAAACTTTTCTTTCATCTTTGATTTATTGTCATCTATCAGAGAAATCTCACAGAATTCCTTGTTGCAGTCCAGGTGGACACAATGTTGCAGTTATACTCCAGCCTTTTATGTGAGCGGAGGATCCTGATTACATCTAGTAAACTTAGTACAGTAAGTATTGCACGCTCCTTCCCCCTAATTCCTCACACTGTTGACATCTATGGTCAGGGGCGGACTGACAACTGATGGGGCCCCCGGGCAATAGGGGATCATGGGGCCCCTGTGTCCTCGCCCACACTCAAACCACACCCCAAAAAGCCTATGAAAGGTACCAGGGGCATCTCATGGGGCCCCCTACTGACCCCAAGCCCTTGGGCAGTGCCCGAGTTCCAAAATGGTCAGTCCGCCCCTGCCTATGGTGACTTCTCTGGATTTATGGCCAAATAGACTTACCCTGAAAAGGCCAAATTGTGTGTAAAATGAAAAATCCATCCAATGATCTACTTTAATCTGTGTGTTCCTCTCTCTCTGACAGCTGACTGCCTGTGTCCATGCCTCTGCAGCCCTCCTGTATCCCATGTACTGGCAGCACATCTATATTCCTACACTACCTCCACATCTACTGGACTACTGCGGGTCAGTCATTCTGTCTGTCATACTGTCCATCCGTCTGTCTATGGTTATGATTAAAGTGATATTAAGCACTTCCAGCAGCTGATTTAATCACTTACTGAGTATACAGCTTCTTTATATTTTATTCCATGCCTATGTTCCAGTTTAAAGCGGAGTTCCGCTCGCGCTGTCAAAAAATAAAAGTCAGCAGCTACAAAAACTGTAGCTGTTGACTTTTAAAAAACAGCCACTTACCTGTCCCTCGGTCCCGTGGTGTCCTCCCCGCCGCCCTTTTCACCAGCTGTCCTGTATTCCAGGAGGCCGGCATCTTCAGTGTTGGCACCCGGCTGTGACAGCTTGCAGCTTCACAGCCAGGTATCCACTGCCCATGCGTGAGTAGCACTACACTTCATGAATGGTCCTGTAGTCTTCTAGGACCTGTCACATGTCCCAAAAGACTACAGGGAGGGAGGACAGCTTCCACTTCCGATCGCCTAGGCGATTGGATTGGAAGTGGGAGCGGGTACCTGTCAATTTCGGGTACGGGGGAGCAGTCTCTTCCCCTTTTGGGTGGAGCTCCACTTTAAGCTGGTGCCATGACCTCTGCCCCAGGTTACCTTTTTCAGGATGGCTCCTTTAACCACTTCCGGTCCATGTGCATAAACAGCTTGACGGGAGCAGTGCCGAAGCAGGTCGCCATTTATAAACGGCCCCCGCATTCTCTGCCTGTACGCGCGAGGTCCCGATCATGCGATCACTGATTGGCCAATCAGTGGTCACATAAATATTAGTAAGCAAGATGTCACTTCTGACATCATTGCATACTACTAGTGAAATCTGTGAATGATCATAGAGGTCACATGGTACAAGGCTATTCACAACAGCCTTGTACCATATGACAAGCTGTGACCAATCACAGCTCTCACATTATTTCTCAATGGCTGCAGGAATGCAGCCAAAGAGAAGGAGAAATGATTGATTTTACAGCCTTTATGGGTGCAAAAGCAATCAGTGTAAAAAAAGAAAAGAAAATCGTCATCACCCCCCACAAGTAGTACATTGTCACTATGGTGACACTGTACTGCTAGGGTGACAGTATGTTAAAAAAAAAACATAAATAATAATATTAAAAAAAGTAAAAAAAAATTATTTTGAAAAATTAAAAAGTTTTGGTTATAAACTAATTTGGGTTATTTTTTTTACTAAAAAGATAGCTGAATAAATTTTGGCGAAGATTTATGAAGAAAGATTATTTATTTGCAAAATTTTATAAGAAAAACCCTTTTTATTTTTAAATGTTTGGACTTTTTCATTTATATAGCAAAAAAATAAAAATCCCAATAATAAAAAACCAAAATAAAGTTTTATCTGTCTCAAAAAAATGCAAAAAAATTGATATGGGTACAGTGTTGCATGACCGCGCAATTGTCATTCAAAGTGTAATAGCGCTGAAAGCTGAAAATTGGCCTGGACAGGAAAGGGTGGAAGTGTCCGGACTTGAAGTGGTTAACGTGCAGCATCCTATGGAGCCACCCTTGCATGCATGTCTCCCTACACTGTGTACATCAATAGAAACACACACCTCTATAGCCTATGAGATGGCAAGGCACTTCCCTGCTCCTTCCTTCTCCAAGCCAACAGATTGGCTTGAGACTGAACTGTCCACTGTTAACACTTTCCTGTGAAGACTGGAAGTTCAGGAAAGCAGCACTAAGACAGCAGGAGGCAGCAGCTTTGAAAGCTGTTACCTGCAAGTGTTGGGATAGAATTTCCTAATTGCTACCTGGACAGAAACTGAGGATCAACCCTAACACATAAAACTAACTTTGTTAAATCCAGAATAGTGACGATGCCTATGTATTGTGGAGCACACATAAGCCAGCCTGGAGCACCTCCCAACAACCTAGAAATCCTCCTACTGACTCTTGACATATGCCAGTGTTGACAGATGACCAGTTTCATTTTAAAACTCTCCATGCAGTAGCATTATTATATTATTATTATACAGGATTTATATAGCGCCAACAGTTTGCTCAGCGCTTTACAATGTAAGGGGACAGTACAATTACAATACATTTCTGTACAGAAGGAATCGGAGGGCCCGCTCGTGGAGCTTACAATCTAAAGGAAGGGGGAGGTAATACAAAAGGTGATAACTGCGGGGGATAATCTGATGGAGGTGGCTCAAGTACAGTTCTTAGGTGGAGGTGGGGTAGGCTTCCCTGAAGAACTGAGTTTTCAAAGATCGCCTAAAGGCAGACAGGGTGGGGGCTGACCGGACATGCTGTGGTAGGGAGTTCCAGAGGATGGGAGAGGCTCTGGAGAAGTCCTGGAGGCGAGCGTGGGAGGAGGTGATGAGGGAGCTAGAGAGGAGACTATCATGGGAGGAGCGGAGCGGGTAATTGGGGTGGTATCTGTGGATGAGGTTGGTGTAGCTTGGGGCAGTGTTGTGGATGGCTTTGTAAGTTGTGGTTAGTATTTTGAATTTTATACATTAGTGGGTCTACAGCTGAGGCTAACCATGGCCAGGCTATAGTAAAAGCAGTGTCAGCAATAAGCAATTAGAAATATGGTATTCTTGTACTTGTAGAGGCTTCTGATGTCCTCTGATATGACCAATGGATCGGAAATCTTCTCAGGCAGGGAATGATAATTCAGTGGTGGTGATGACACCCAGGGCTGTTTTTATGTCGATGCCTACGGCAGCTGGGTTGGTAGGGGCAGCAACAAGCCTCAAAATGTACAGATTGTGATACATTTTTCATTATTTTGGTTGCCTCTTCTAGCTAACTCTGGACCTCTGTTGCCAAATCAAGAAGAGAATCGTAACAGGAAAGTGTGGAGGTGTCAGGAATGGATTCACCACTGGTGGTGGGACTCACCTGCCATGTGGGCTGTAGTACCAGGGCTGGCCAGCGGGTGCTCTCAGCAACCAGAAACTCACTCCTACAGTCAGCCATCAGCTGAAGCTGATTGCAGGAGGTGTATTTAAGCAGGACCAGGCCTGTGATCAGGGCCTTGGTGTATGTTTCCCATGAGCCCCTGTACCCTGTGTTCCTGCCTATCTGCCTAGTTGCTGACCGTGCTTTGATCCTGACCTCTGCTGACTGTCTCCTGCTGAACCCCTGGCTTGCCTGACCATCCTTCTGCCTGATCCTCTGTACCGCGCTGCCCGTGAGTTACTGAACCCGGCTTGTGACCCTGACTATTCTCTGCCTGCTCCTCTGGTACTTTGCTGCCCGCACGTTTCTGACCTGGCCTGCCTGACTACGCCTGACGCTACCCAGACGATCCATCCATCCCGCACAGATCCAGTCACTACTGTCCAAACCTGCCAGCCCCTTCACATCAGGCTTTCCCCCGGTACATACCCTCGGCGGACCCCTCTACCACAGTTGGGTGCACTCAGGGGCCACAACCTGGTCTCAGTCCTGCGCCAAGTCCATCCCCACCATCAGGGGCTCTGGTGAAAAGGCAGACTGAGGCTTAGACTCCGCGCCCTGGGGAATCCTGTTCTGTGGGTCACTAGAGATCCCGCCGGGCGGTGCCTGACAGTACCTTACGGCCCGCCTGACCATTACACCTATCCAGCCCTGACTACGCCTGTGTTCCTGAAGCCTGCTACTTCCCGGTGTCAGTCCACACATATCTGGTCACACCCGGATCCCTAACAGGAGGATATTGAGAGGAGTCCAAAGACTCACTATAGTTCAGGAAACATGAATCATCTCTCTTTTCTCTTGTTTGGTGATCAGCACAGCAAAAAATTTGATTTTCCCTGAAAGTCACTTTAGTGAAAGTTTGGCAACTTATGAGTGTGTGGCCTTTTCTAAAGGAGCCTATGGAACAGACATTACAGCAGAATTGATAAGATTTAGCCTGCTTTAAAAGTGATGACGTGAGAACACGTCTCTAATATTAACCCAAAATGATAGAATGGTGGGTAAAGCGTGAAATGATTTTTATTTGATTTTTTTCCCCACTTTAAGTTAAGCTGCAATACCATTTATCACCTGCAGGGGTGCTGTAAGCATGAGACCCCCAAAGTCTGGCTGAAAGTAGAATTAAAGGACTGAAGTTCCTCTTTAAACAATACGAGTTCCCGTGTTTTGTCCGTCAAAGTCTCATAATATACTAACCACATGTCTCTTGTTCTTTCTTAGAGCACCGATGCCTTATCTGATCGGTGTACACAGCAGTCTGATGGAGGTCAGTGGGTCTAAGTTGGAATAAATAAAGGGGGGTGGACTCATGCGCTGCCAAAGACATAAAAATGAAGAAGCTGCTGACACCTAACTAGACTAGAATAGATGAAACATAAGTAGATATGGTGGTGTAGCGCTAATACCATGTGATACTTGACATAAAAAATCAATACAGGATTCAATATTAAATAGGTGAATACATAAATTATATGAATGAATATATAGGTGTACAGTGGTGCACCTAATGTGTATCCCAAAAACATGCCATCAAGAATGTGACTAAATATAAGTGATAGGTGATTTAAGTGGAACAAATATTAACCAAATATAAATACATGTGATCATAAATGAACAATATTCATAAATCATATAGCACAAAGTCCCAAACGTATAACTGTGATGAATCAATCTTCGACCGTGAAAATTAATACGTGCTCAAGTGCATCAAACCATCTGTCACCGTCTAGCATGCACGTTTACCTCCAATCTCTGACCCTCAAGGAGTCACAAGGCATAACAAATCACCATATAGTCCCAGGTGGGATGAATCTCACTCTCTGGGTGGACACAGGATCAGCTTCCACACAGCCCATGGTTAATCAACCATTACACAGGTAAGGCACCTTTACAAAACTCCTCCACTCTCCCAATGGCTCATAAACAGGGAATCAGAGAAAAATCCACCATAGTGTAGTAGAGTAAAATTTATTATACCATACACAAATGCCAAAGACCTACTCACACATTAAAATTGAGTCATAGACCCACCAGACATAAACTGTATAACCCACAGTCA